AACTGGTACAGATTCTCCTTTGATCAAACACTGGTTGGCTCTAATTACTTATTAGTAGTAGTCAGAAGAGGAGTGTGGCATCAGGATTGGAGGGAGAATCATCAATAACCTGTGTTCTGCATATGATAAAACCTTGCTTGCTGAAAGTTAGGAGGACTTGAAGCACTTGTTGCAGAAGATCAAGGAATAGAGCCTTTAGTATGGATTGCACTTCAATGTCAAGAAAACAAAGATTCTTACCACTGGACCAATAGGCAACATCATGATGGATGGAAAGGAGGTTAAAACTGTCAACAGCTTTATTTTGCTTGGATACACAATTAACATCCTTGGTATCAGCAGTCAAGGAAATAAGGAGACGTACTGCACTGGGAAAAGTTGGAGTTAGGGAACTCTCCAAATTATTAAGGAGTAATGATGTCATTTTGAGGACTATGGTGCATCTGTTTCAGGCCATAATCTTTCTGATCACTAGCTATGGATCTGAGAGCTGGACAATGAATAAGGATGACAGAAAAAGAATGGACATCTTTGAGCTGTGGTGTTGGAGAAGAGCACTTAACATACATAGACAGCAAAGAGAATGAACAGATATGTCTTGGAGAGGGTGCAGCTGGAATGCACTTTGGATACAAGAATGATGAGGCTTCTTTGGGTATGTTGCTTACAGGGGCTATTTCTTAGAGAGGAACGTGATGCCACGAAGGGTAGAGGGTCGCTGAAGGAGAGGAAGACTCTCAACCATGTGGACTGACATGGTGACTGCCGCTTGTGTGTCAGGAAGTGTGAGGATGTCACAGGATAGAAAAGGGTTCAGATCTTTTGTTCATAGGGTCGCTATGAGTCGTACTCAACTCGATGACACCTAACAACAATAACAAGTAGTTAGAAAGTCCAAGACTGTTTGACAAGCAGGATTCACTCCCACTGGCCTGTGCACTTCCCTTTCTTGCGAAGAACTGAATGAGTCGGTAGAAACTTCTACACTCATAAAATACTTTACTCAGCTATTAAGGCAAAGAAAACAAATTGAATGTCTAAATCTAAGTTAATTTCAGCCTTCTTTTTGAGCTTGTATTTTCCTTGCTACCTTCATCCCATGATAATGCCTTTAACTCCATCTCTTTCGCCAATACCTGAAATCTCCAGATAGAGACTTCAGATTTCATCACCTAGCCCAGTGATTTTCAGACAGTAACCACTCAACAACTAACTGTTGAATAAAAAACTGTTTAATACCTTTTTATATAAAATGAAAAAGTGTCTTGAGCCCATTTGGTAGAGGATCAAAACCATCATTTTGTGATCCATTTCAACTCACACCAACCCTAGAGGAGAGAATACCCACATAGGATTTCCAAGGCTAGAATCTCTAAGGAAGCAGACTGTCACATTTGTCTTTCGTGAAGCTGGTAGATTCTAACCACCGATTTTGGGTTAGCAGCCAAATATTTAACAACTAGACTACTAGAACTCCTTGTATAAATAATCAGGCAAATGGCTTTATAAAGTAGAATATTCATAGTTACTTATTACAAGAGCTTTGGCCTAATTGTCATGATACAAATGTTTGGTTGAAGGTCCTAATTCATACCTTGTATTGATAACACTAGGTACATTCATTAATCAGAATGCTCAACATTCATCAAGTAAATGAGCCCTCCATTTGTCAGCCTGACTTTCCCAGAGATCACATCAGCACAGTAAAGAGTGGCATGAAATAACTGGCAATCACTCATATCTCCTCCCTAGCTGGAGGTTTTCCAAATAATTGCCAGGTTGCAGTGCAATGTTTAGCCATGTGTAGCTGCAACCCCGAGAATGACAGTGTGTGATAATGGTTGACAGCAATAAACTAAAAGTCCCCAGGATAATGCTGGACTCTCATCCTCATTTTCAGTCTGCAGGTACTAATCACGGGGGTAAGGGGCACCTGGGAACTAACCTAGCTATATGAGCCACGTCCAAGCCAATCTTTCATCCGCTATAGGTTCTGCACCCATGTAGCAAAGCACATATTGTATAATCTCATCTCACTTTTTTCTTAAATTTGTGCACTTTCCTTAAGACCACATGCTCTCTCATCTTCATTTTGCAAATGATTGTTGTTTGTTGTTATGTGCCATTGAGTCATTTGCGACTCATAGCGACCCTATGTACAACAGCCCTAAACCCTGCTCTATCCTGTGCCAATTGCATGGCCTCTGACACACCCATCCCGATTACCCAGTCACTTAATCAATCCACCTCATAGAGGGTCTTCCCCTCCTGCGCTGTCCCTCCACCTTACCAAGTATGATGTCCCTCTCCAAGGACATGTCTCTCTTTACAACATGTCCAAAGTATGTGAGATGAAGCCCCAGAATCCTTGCCTCCAAGGAATAGCCTGCTTTAACCCTCCCCAGGATAAATCTGTTTGTTTTCTTGGGAGTCCAGGGTACATTCAATACTTTTCTCCAGCACCACAGCTCAAAGGCGTCAATTCTCCTTCTATCTTCCCTAGTCACTGTCCAACTCTCTGACGCATAACAAGTGATTGCAAAGGCCATGGCCTGTATCAGGCACACCTTAGTCTCCAGAGAGACACCGTCGCTCTTGAGTACTTTAGAGAGGTCCTTAACAGCAGACTTACCCATCGCAATATGTCTTTTGACTTCCTGGTTGCTGGTGCCAAGAGTGTTGACCGTGGAGCCGAGCAAACTGAAGCTGTGAACAATCTCAATCTCTTCAACATCCATCCTGATGCTACCGATTGGTCCAGCAGTGAGAATCTTTGTCTTCTTGACATTGAGCCTCAGTCCATACTGAAGGCTGCAGTCCTTGACCCTCTGAAGCAAGTGCATGAGGTCCTCCTCAGTTTCGGCAAGCAGGGTTGTGTCATCTGCATAATGCAGATTGTTAATAGACCCTCCACCAATCCTGATGCCACACTTCGCATCATAGAGCCCGGCCTCTCGGATAATCTGCTCTGCGTACAGGTTGAAAAGGTATGAAGATAGGACACATCCCTGGCATGCACCCTTCCCAATTTTGAACCATGCGGTGTTACCTTGCTCTGTTCTGACGACTGCCTCCTGGTCCAAGTATAAGTTTCACATTAACACAATTAAATGTTCTGGTATTCCCATTCTTCACAGAGTCAGCCACACTTTGTTATGATCCACACAGTCAAACGCCTTTGCATAATCAATGAAACACAGATAGACATTCTTCTGGTATTCCCTGCTTTCAGCTAAGATCCATCTAACATCAGCTACAATATCCCTAGTACCACGACCCCTTCTAAACCCAGCCTGGACTTCCGGCAGTTCTCTGCTGATGTGCTGTTCCAGTCGTTTTTGGATAATATTCCGTAGAATCTTGCTTGCATGTGAAATCAATGATATCGTTCTGTAGTTTCCGCACTCAGTTGGGTCACCTTTCTTTGGAATGGGAACAAATATAGATCTCTTCCAGTCAGTTGGCCAAGTGGTTGTTCTCCAGATTTCTAGGCACAACTTGGTGAAAATGATAAATTGTAATTAACTAAAAAAGCTCTTCTCACCTTCCTTACCCAACTGAAGATCTTTTACTGAATTCATGTTTGTCCTGTACCATGGGGGTTGTGCTTGGCCACTCCTTATTACCTTAAAAGTCCTTCGTTCAGTACACTTTTTATATACAGTGAATGTGCTGCTTACACAACAAATATGGATTAAATGAAATGAATACCTCGTTTTCTTCTTTTTTTATTTTATTATTTTTGTGTGTGTGTGTGTGCCATCAAATTGGATCTGACAGGGACAGGAGGAGATTGCCCCTCCTTCTCCAGCAGAGCATCTGGTCGATTCAAACCACATACCAATTGCAGTGCAACTTCTTGCCACTAGGTCACCAGAGCTCCTTCGTTTTCTTCTCTTTTGGGAAGCTATACTACTCTTTTCTAGCAGGTGGAGACTACACCACTTCTGATAATGCAAAGGGTTTGCCGAGTATTAAGGAACGATTAACTGATGGTTATTTAGAAGGACATTGTCTGGGTGAGCCTGGAGGACATTATGCTGAGTGAAATATCTCAGTCGAAAAGGACAAATATTGCATGGTGCCAATGCTGTAAAATGGGACTGATATCAGGGTGGGGGTAAGACTGAGAAAAACTGGATAAACTGTGTATACTGCACTGAAACAGATGAGGGACTGAATAATTTAAAAGCGATGTGTGATAGGGTATTATGGTTATCACAAGAGTCCACAATTAAGGTTGCATAGTGGAATGTACTTGGGGCAGTGGGAGGGGTGCGGGGGGATTGTGTACCAGGGAGGGAGTCTTTTTTTTTTTTACTTTTGAAAGAGAGGAGCGAACTGGGGGTGTGGGCGGAGAGGGCTGGGCTGGTAGAGAAGTGCAGCAATGAATGAATGGAAATCCAAATTCTCTGTAAATGTTCATTAAAATGATTTTTTTTAAAAAAAAGAAGGACACTGTCACAAAGGCAGTCATTTCAATTCCATTTTCTCAACTCTACCAATTTGAACCCCTCTCTCAAAGTGGTCAGCTGCTCTAAAGGGGAAAGATGAGCAACACCCACCAGTAAAATTCACAGCCTCAGAAACTCAACTGAAGTAGGAAGCGACACCACGGCAGTGGGTTTGGTTTTTTTTGTATTTTAGTAACCATCCCTAACAACGCTACTTGCTATTTCCCTTAAAGAATCAATACACTTTTACAGGGTTTTTTTCCTCAAATTTGTGCAGAAAAAAAATCAACACAAATATCACTGACATTCAAATCTGTGGATTAATAAACTAGGTTACAGGAAAATTGGTGCTGCCTATAACTTAGTGGTTTACGTTTGTTGATTCTTTAAAAACACCACAGTCATCATTCTTACCTTTATTGTCTCTGCCCGAAAAGTTAATAAACTGAATCATGGGTTAGCCTTTTACTTCTCAAGAGTTCTCGACATCTTCGTTGTGACTTGACTAACAACCAGCCTCTACTTTTCCTGTCTTTACTTCCCTAGGAAGAAGATGTAACTCGGGAAAGTCGCTTTAATTTCAGTGGTTATGGCATGGGTCACTGCCTCCAAGTAAAAGATGGGGCTGCTGTCAAGGCCACACCTGCCAACCCACTCCCACCACCCCCGAAAGATGCGGATGCCATCAAGAAGAAGTTTGTGGACCGGGCCAAAAGGATTGACACAATATCTCGAGCTGCCTTCCCACTGGCCTTCCTCATTTTCAACGTCTTTTACTGGATCACGTATAAGATCATTCGGCATGAGGATGTCCACAAGAAATAGATGTGCCCTACAGATCTGGGGACCTTCTTGCCCAAGTGTTGTGCTTGTAAATACACAGTGAAATTGTCTTTATATCACTCTGACAGAAGAGAAGGCTAGGGGGGAGGGTGGGGAGGGAGAATCATGTGAATGGGTTTCCTGGCACCTACATGAAATAAAAAAAGAGAGGTTGTCCAGGCCATGAAGAATTAAAGAGATGTTTGCACAAAATTAAGGTGTTACAAAATAATCACACTGAGCATACTTCTCTTCCATAGTCATTAACATTGTTCCTTCAGATGATGCATCAATCAGACATGATATGCAGGGTCAAGTTCTAGAGGGCTATTTACTTTTTCATTTGGTTTGGTTTTGACCAATGCTGGTACAGAAACGTTAACTTAAAAAAATGCACACACACAAGATGAACATGCTTGCCATCTGACCAGAGTGACTACCCTATAGTGAGTCGAGAATCAAATAGTTTTGGAAGGAAAATGCTGCCTCGGTTTTAAAACAAGCCTCCTGAGCTACATTCTTTACAATGTCTGTAATTAGTGTTTCACCTGAGAAATACTTTTGTGGATCATAAATTATTTCTACTTTCCAGAAAATAGAAACAACAAATAAACACCAATTACAAAGAACAGATTTCTACTTTACTGTCTGTGTAGGTGTGCATTTTAATATTCCGTTTCTTTCCTAGGAGTAATTTTGGGGTTGAAATGGTGTACTGTGTAACTGATTTGATAGTCTACTCTCTTAAAAATAAAAACTCATTTTCTTTTCGAGCCAAGTTAGCGCAATATTTTCTTTCCATTTTGGCTATACTGATATGTGACTGTAAGTGTCTAAGTGTGACTTAGCCATTGCATCCTCTCAGCCACAGTATTTATGCAGATGGTGTGTCCTGAACGATGTAGCTCAGATTAGCTTGAACTTCCCATTTCTGCTCTCATTGTAGGTGTAACCACTAGTCCTAATGTTAACAGACCCCTGGTTTCTACTGTTAATCTAAGTGACTATCGTTTTAAATACCCTTGACTAACTTAATGAATTTTAAAATTGTACTGTGATTTTCATAACCCGTTGCCTTTTTGGTACCAGAGCTACGTGGTTCGAATCCTGGCTACGTGTTTTAAGTAAGATTAAAATAAATAAAAGACGTATTTTTGCTTACTCAGATAAAAGACAACCTGTAAAACTATGAAAAATTTACATTTTACATGTGCTGTAAAAGGGGTTATTTAAAAAAAAGTATTTGTTCAATTTCAATAAAGCTAAGTGTGCCACACAATGGGGCTTGTTTCCGTCTTTGCACTAAAATGTAAACCATTAGCATGACAGTGATAAACTGGATTTTGTATCTGGCCTTTCTCATATACCAGAACCATTTATACACTTAGTATATGTTACTGATTATAATATCCCTATAAAGAGAGGAAAGCATGTCAGCTTTACCACAGAAATAGGGGAGTAAGTACAGAAGGATCTATGGTCCTTGTGAGTAGACTCTCATACTAGATACTTCATAGAAGACATGGAAGGGTTCAGAGGGCACTGACAAATCATAAAATTTCAAGGTGGGAAGACCAACTCATCCAGTTGCTCACCCTTATATTGTCTAGAAAAGCATTTTCTTATGGCAGAAAAAGTTTCTGCAAACCCCAGTGAAGTCCATGTTCTTTAATATGCATCATAATATTCTCAGGAAGATGTGAGATGTGTGTGGATTTCCAAGTCAATGGTTATGACCTTTTAAATCGACTCAAGGAGCCCAGTTGGTGAAAGAGTTAAGCACTCAGCTGCTAACCAAAACAAAAAGATCAGCAGTTCAAACCCACTCAGCATCTCTGCAGGAGAATGCCCCTGGGATGACTACAGTCTCAGAAATCCTATGGGACAATTCTATGTCATGCAGGGTTGCTATGAATTAGAAACCACTTGATGGCACACAATGACAATGTCTCTATTCAAACACTGAATAATTTCCAAGGAGAGCTAAATTCCAAAACAGCTAGAAGCATGAATTTTGGAGATCAAGACTAGCCCTGTTGCCTTTAAAATGCTAACACACAACAAATGCTCCATAACTAACGCTGTTATGTACCACGACACTGATTCCAAGTTAGAGTGAGCCCACTCTCAGAATAGAACTGCTCTGTAGTGTTACCTAGGCTGTCATCTTTATGGGAGCACATCACCAGCCCTTTCTTCCAAAGGCTGTGTGGTCAGAAGCCAAGCACTTAGCCACTGCACCTCCAGTCCTCTTTTAATACCCAACTCTAAACTCATTATCATTGAGTCAGAGCCGACTCAGCTGACCCTGCAGTGGGTTTTCAGAGGCTGTAAACTGAACGGTAAGAGACTTCCTATCTTTCTCCTTCAGAGCAGCTGGCGGATTCTAATTGCCTGCCTTTATGCTGGCAACAAAACTCTCCACCCACTAAGCTACCAGAACTTCCTCAATAACTAATAAACTACAATAAAAAACTAATTTTTACTATAGAATATTAAATGAACCACTGGACACAAAGCTCCATCACATCTAGCCTTAGCAAGTTTAATGCTAAGTATTTTGCATCATTTCTAAACCATTATTTCTGTCCGAGGGCTCCTTTCATTGGTTTCCAAACAAATTAGGGAGCATCTTCTTGGATGGCTTCCTGAACTCTTCCTCCCAATGGGAAATGGTAAAATGGAGGCCCAACTGCTTCCCAAAGGTGTCTGCATCCACAAGTGTTCTGGAACAACCCTGAAGCTACAGATCAAGGGTACTGGGATGGGGAAATGTGAAGTGAACTAGCTGTTTTTAATCAATGTGTGGGGGGCTTGTCATTTTCTCAAGGGTGCTGCTTACACAGCAGAAAAGCAGAAAGAGATTTACTTTAAAAAAATAAATCTGTCAGTCACTCAAGCAGGAAAAAAAGGTATCCTGGCTGCAGGACAGCTTCATGACTTTTCTCACTCTACCTGCATCCTAAAAGAAAGAACTCTTAAATACACTGATTCGAGCGGTATACGAAGATTATTTTTTTTTTCTTTTAAATCTCAGGGGAAAGAAAAATTTGAACATGGAATAAATACTCTAGTGAAACAGATAATTCCTCAGTGATGTTATTGGAGGTTTTATTTAGGACATTTTTCCTTCATGAGAGAAAATAAATCAGTCTGAGGGAAAATAGTTGAAGAGCAAAATCATGACTCTGAGAAATCTTATTAAATGTCTTCACTAAACTGGGAGCTTCTGGAAGAAAGTGGTTGTGTTTTCAGGGATTCTCCACAATCCCTGCCCAAAGCTTGGTGTGTCATGAATGCCACTACTATCCCCAGGCTGAAGGGACACAGGACATAGACTGTGCTGACTGGCAAAGTTACAGAAATGCCATCAGTTAACCAACTCCTGCCACTTTTTTCAGCCCATGGATTCCTGAGCATTTGTCCTTGAAACATTTTTAAACCCCTACCACTCGGTTTTCAGAACACATCTAAATTACTTAAATGGGTTAGTTTAAGTCTTTTTCGGTATTCTCATACACTTTAGTCCTAAACAGATTCAGAGGAACACAGTGCTGTAGTTTGGTTTCAGATTTTAAAAAAATCCTTTACAAAAGTGTAAGCATTAAGCTTTTCTATGTCACTGAACAGAGATGCCAAAGTCTAGAGAGCAAAATTTCCAATAAAGATTAAGTGAGTATCATTTTACGTTCCACTTCATTAATATCAAATAAGGAGGTTCTAACTAAAACACAGTACACAATTTTATGTTGTAGAGTTCAAAGCTCTGATAAAGAAAAAAAATAGCCACACATATTCAGAATACTTTTACAGGATCTTTGCATTTCCAAGATTAAGCCTGAAACCAATTTGTGGAATGAACAGAACTCACACGACTGTCAGGTGGACTCTCAGAAATACTTCAACTTCTGCTTAAACTTTTTTTCTTAATCAGACTGGATTTGTTTTCCTTTTGTAGTCCATAATCTGAAGGATACAAGAAGTCGTTCTTGTTGTTATTGTTAAGTGTCATCAAGTTGCAGATGACTCATAGCGAACCTATGAACAAAAGACCTGAACATATGCATAATTTTCATTGTCTCTCCATGTTCATAGAGTTTCCAGAGGCAAGCCATTTTGTAAGTGGATGGTACTCTTGTTTCCAAGCTTGTTTTAACTGGAAGCTCCACCAAACACCATTGATAACCATTATCACATTTAACACATCAGCATCACAGTGTTCAGTATCACAACAACCATGAATTACCTCTGTACAGCAATGCACAGACCAGTGCTATATTACTTACAATGTTTGACCAAAAGCAATTTAAAACAGGCCTGAGGGACGCAGATTAAAATCACCCACCTTTGGCTTGGTAGCATCACTTTCTGTCCACTAGGCCAACTCAGCTCTCTCGATGCATTCAAGAAGAGATCGATTAAATCAATCCCAAGAACTGTGGACAGTGCCATGGCCTCACATTCATAGAGTGCTTTCAACACATCAAAATGTTTTCAGGTCTACTGTAGTATTTGATTCTAACAACTGTGCAAGGTGCCAGCGCATGAAGAGCTAATGTCTGCCCTTTGAGCAACAGATACACAGATGCTCCATGGCTTAAGTGCCTGGCCTGAGATCATCAATTAGATGGGAAGCTGAACAAACAACAGAGTTTCTTTCTTAACTCCTCAGACTCTTCCCTTTCACCACATCCATAATAGCTAAGAAAAGCAAAGCCAGGAAAGTATAAAAGTCATTGCACCACTGACCCACTCTCAGAATGATAAAAGGAGGGTGTACAAAAGAATGTTTCTGTTGAAAATGCATAAAAAGAGGAGCTTATTCAGAAGCTATTCTTGTCAATAGGCTAAAAGAGACATAGTCAATATCTTGTATAAATGAATGGCTGGGAAGATACTGGGAGTAAATAAAGACCAATGGAATTCAGTATAGAATGTGCTTATCTCCATTTTTGAAGGTGAGAAAAAAGCACCTTTGCTTTGTCACACGGACTCCCACAAATGAAAAGATGCAGTATTTCTACTCGGGTGCAAATACATTTTAAAAACAGCAGACTTTATTTCCGCAAGCTGAGGACATTGTGTACTAGATATGTTTAGACTACAAGCCAGCATCTG